CAAAGCCATCAACTGTAATTGTATATTTATTATTTTTCTTCAGTTGTTTTTGAATATCATGTTGCGTGTATTAATTTTTATTATAAATACACAGTCGATAGTGTAAGATTGTTGTGTATCGGTTCTAGAAAAATACGTCAATAAATGAAAAAGAAATAAATAGTATACAGAATGCATAAATAGTTTTTATAAACTTACGAGGGCACGTAAGATGACCTACTCTACCGCATGAGCCATTTACTATCCAGTTTAAACAATCTTCAAAGAACTGATTACTCTTATTATACATATATTTATTCAGATTGATATACTTACAGAATGTTATAAGGAGACAATAAGATTTGTATACGCATAACGAGAATCAATTAAGAATTTGACTACGGAAATATCCTTTGAAACAGGATTAACCGATTGTAATTTGATAATTCATTAAAATATCTTGATTTTCGATATTAATGCTACAGACCAAGAGTATGCATATATCAAAGTTTTGCGAAAAATCATGAATGAGATTGTATTTACTTAAAGAATAATTATTAAATTGTCATCTGCCCGACGAGGTTTAGAATTACAAAGTAAAGTTGCTTGACCTTATTGTTGACTGAGTATTTTAATATTCATTAACAATCATGTTCTAACACTTATAATGAATTTGATTAACATTCCATAAATATTAAGTGTTTATCGGTATCTATATTAATTGCTATCAATTACAAATTCGACTCCGATTAATAATAAGAGCAAGAAATCCACGATTGTTAATTTGCCCTTTCAATATGAATTTTTTGTTTTGTTTTTATTATTGCCGAAATCTTGTATTAGATTTATACGTATCCCTTATTACACTAATATTCAAAGTATAGTAACATTGATATACATACAAAGTTATTCACGGCAAACTCACAACCTGAAATTGATTACAAATGGGTAATTTCATCAGCCGGAACAGTGTAATATCATTAGAGGAATGAAAGGTGACTTCATAACATTGGTAACATCATGAGCTTCAGAATTTTTCATTTGTTTAATAAGATCACACTGTCTTGACTAACGGAATCGATCAACAGCGTTCAACTTTAGCAGGTGCTTTTGTCATGAATAACCCTGTATAATATTCATAAGTATATTCATGCTGATGCACAAACTGTATATGAATCGGATATACAATATTCCGCATATTTCTGCTATAAGGGATTGGCATTCCGAGAATTTGTAATACTGCAATAAGGAAATTCGCAAATGATTGCATGAAAATTCCTTAATTTTTAATACTGTTGAAAGACAGGGTCTCTGTTTGGTAAACGTGATAAAACTTCATCGATCACCAAACTTAATCATCTGAATCTTTTTATGGGCACTGGAATTATTCAGGGTCTTCCTGGACTTGTGACTGGAATAAATAGAATAAGCCTTCCTCACAAACAGGGAATGAAGGTTCATGCTCACGGTCAATTAACATAGCAACAATAAATAATCGAAGTAGTTGGTAATTGTGAATCACTGTAAAAAAATGAAGAAAGAATAAATAAAGTACATATATGCAAATTATTAAATCGTTAAATATTTATTCTGAAAATATAGGAATAAAATTGGCACAATAACAACTATCACTGAATATCAAATAGCAAACAATAGTGTTAAAATTATATACAATAAAGTGATAGAATACTTTTTGTCTTTTACTTTGAATTTTGAATTACAAATGGATGAGCATATAAGGCTTACGAGTTGAATGATAGGATGAGCGAAACATATTATACAGTGAGTTCAGGGCCGTATAGCCTTGGAAGACGATGAAGCTCATCATCAATTTTCGTCACGCAATTAACTTTACCTACGCATCATAACTGACTGTTGCCCCAGGGGTAGACAAAAGAACGTTCAGATAATTAAATCGACTAGATTGACATCGGTATCATATAACATTTCGTAGAATCAGTCACTCGTCAACGATTAACATTTTATATTTTTGTGATTTTGAAACTCTTCCTTGTTGATATATTTTTAAAAATTTTATTCAGTCTCTAGTTGCACATATATTCTTAGGTGCACCGATTAAATGTCATGCATTTTTATCTAGTATCATTAATACAGTGATATATATCATACATTATTTCTTATTATGTAGTTTTTTTTTCTTGTCTTATTTCTTTAAAAAGTGTTATTCGGCTACGTGCTACTTATCTAAATGGCGCGACATCAGCCTCTCTTTTCTCTACACTTTCTATACGGTACTAGAAACGTTACTCTGTATATACATATACTTTATTAGTACACTACATATTGTATAGAAAACATGTAATTGATGTGAATTATTTTTATATATTTAATCAATAACACATGAAACAAAGGATATAGTTCAGTCATATCATGATGTCATATAAACAAAATGTACGGTTGCGTCAACGAGATAATTGTGTAATCGGTCCTTCATGTCATTTTTAGGTATTGACGAAACAGTGAAACTGGTTCAGGCTGCTGGTGGAACTTGTTATGGTTACGTTTGTGACCTGTGCGATCGTGAGGATGTCTACCAGAAGGCAGTCGTCCTTAGGCAAGAAGTCGGCAAGGTAATACATTGGAATTTCTGCTCTCAGTCTCTCTCTCTCTCTCTCTCTCTCTCTCTCTCTCTCTCTCTCTCTCTCTTCATCTCTAATTGTCAGCAGATATTCTACACGCGATGTCACATACATATATATACCAAGCGTTTGCCATAAAAAGTTGTATTTCAAGTAAGCAATCACGTAGGTTGCGCAAAGTTAAAACAATATGCAAATAATAAGCGGATATACAATTGTAACATTACAACTTTTAAATTGAACGATGTTTTTTCTGCTCGTAAATTCACTCCATTAGCTGGTTATAGTATGTGGAACAGCAGTATCTGGATGCACATTAGTTGTGATGACTTCTGACAAATATCAAACTAACTACTGAAACATAAAAGTCTCTCATTTTTCGTTACTCGTTTCGTTTATATCTACTAATATAAACGCTTTATTCTCTATTACAAGCAGACTTTCTTTTATGTTATATCAAGTACTACACTTATCTAATACGAATGTATTTTGATAGAACTATCACTGCTTTTATTTAGAAACAGCGTTTTGTAATGTTTGACTGATTAAAGTCAAAGTATCGTTGCTCATTGATCTCTGCTACTTATTCCAGAGAAAAATAGTCGTTTGAAAGATTGATATAAAATCTTCTAATGAAATGTTTATGAGAAATTGTTAAAAATATTTCTTTTGACGATTCTGATAATGAAATAAAATTCTATTTTGTCAGTAATCAGTTAGCCGTTTCAGCTATTACTTTCTGATGACTGGAATGAGATCGTTCAGCGTGCAACCACATGGAGCAGTGAATTACATTACGCATATGCTTTAATATTTAAACTTAATTTAGATGTAAACACGTTTGCTCATGTCAAAGATCATAGAAAAAACATTTCGCTCTAAGGATAAAGTTATGAAAGTCGCGTGATTACGCAATTGGTATGCAATGAGCTTAGATAAAGAAAAATAATTATTTTCAACTTTACGTGACAGAAACTAAGTATTCAAAATTCAATCAAGGAATTAAAATTTTGCCAGTCTCCAAGACAATTGTGGAATTGTAAGAAATAATCGAAAAAGAGTAGCAAAGATTTATGAATATTTATTACAACTATGGAATGGACTTATCTTTCAAGGCTGAAAAGATTGGTATGACTATTTATTAATATTTAACGTGTTATTTATAATTGGTATTATGTTATAGGTTTCCATATTAATTAATAATGCTGGAATCGTCACGGGAAAGAAATTTTTGGAGACACCAGATCAGCTAATCATACGTACCATGAACGTTAATGTCATGAGCCATTTCTGGGTAATTTACTTGATACTTTTTAAAAAATCTTTGTATTGATTAATAACGTTTTTTGAGATGGTCTTCGATTTAGAGAATGATCGTTTAATAATTCTTCAGCTGGATATATCACGTTCGATACACCAGTTCAAATCACTATTGATGATATTGATGATCAATATTGATATACGGCAATGTGGAAATCTATTCTATCCACAGTGTCGGTATAGTAAATTTTAAAAGCAAACATAATATTGTGACTTGTCATTATTTTAGACGGTGAAAGCCTTTCTTCCAGCCATGATGGAAGATAATAAGGGTCACATTGTGAGTATCGCAAGTCTTGCCGGCTATGTTGGCATTCCAAAACTTGTAGATTATTGCGCTTCCAAATTCGCTGCTGTTGGTTTCGACGAGGCGCTTCGAATGGAGCTTGAGGTAAAAAAGATATTTTTCTAGACATACATTCTTTTTATTAAATAAAAATATAAATGTTCAGATACGTGCCGATGAATTAAATGTTTTTTTAAAAGCATTAAATTAAAAGCTTTTTACTAAAGCTTTATGCACTTGTTTTTGTTGTGGTGTTGATCACAATGTCTGAAAGACTAAAGCGAAAAACAATTATCTAGTATTTGAACAATTTATTTGAACAATTTTATCGGATGTCCATTGACATTCTAGGTCACGAAACGTTACACCTATATGTTTATAATAAGTATAACCCACAGGATGACAAATACTTTAGAAAACTCGATATTATATTCAGTATCTCCATTCACGTAATTCTCTGGGAAAAAATAATTATATATTGTAATTTGCGAATTTTGTTTCTATCTGATTATATCTGATAATATCTAAAATTTAAAAAAAGTATACTATGAATATGTAAATTAATAATAATGTAACTAAATAATATTCCCAAAAAGTAACTTTATCTACTAACAAATGGGTTCGTTCACAACTATTTTACGGAATATTATTTATATGGAATTAAAGAATTTATATTTTCATATATGGAAATATAACTTCTATAGTGTATTTTTGTACAATTTTGTATCTGATAATATAGAATATTATATGATTATATATAATAATTTTTTCCCGGATCATCAATATTCATGATGCATTTCAGTAAGAACATGAGGAAATACAATTTTCCTTTAGCGTTACACAATGACATTGGATACATTCACAAGAGTTTATGTGATGTTACACAAGATTCGTCTGATTGTTGAAAATCACAAATGAGTCCCACGTGCATGTATGATACAAGAAAAAATAATAATAAATAGAATATCATCAGTCAACGCAAACATACCAACTAAAGTAGATTTAGTTTAGTTTAGATTTATATTAGTCAGTCCGTCCAATTGATTTCCATGGGAAAGCCAACTGCAGATGGTGTGTTCAAGCTAATTATTTTTTTATAATAATATAATGAAAATACATGTAATAACAACATATGTAAGAAGTTAAAATTCATGCCAAGGCAATCGTCTTCCGATTGAACCCTTCATTTTCGCGCGGTTCATGTTACATGGCACACCTTTCTCAACCAAGTTTCTCAACGTTTTTACTTCTTATTTAGGCTGCTGGTTACAACATCAACACCACGGTCATTTGCCCATACTTTATACGTAGTACCGGCATGTTCGAAGACGTTCAATCCAGGTATGAAATTTAATCAGTTATCCGTATTGTATGTTTATTCCTTTGTGATTTTTTTTACTTCTAAATCTCATCTATATTTCCATTCAATTTTAATAGATTTGTTCCGACCCTGAGCTCAAACGAGGTTGCAGACAGTGTAATAGAGGCCATGCGGTGTAACGAGAAATTTACTATTTTGCCAAGCTATCTCCAGGCCATGCTGGCGCTAAAATGGTGAGATTTTTCAAAAGTTTTATATTAAAAATTTTTAAGCAAGATAAATGCTCCGATTTGTCACCGAGTCACAGTTTCTGATCGGGGTACCTTTATCATAGAGGTATATATTTATCATAGAGGTTTCCCATCACTTGATAAACGGCTAAGGCTGGGCAGTGTTAGCCCCGTCAGAAACAGGCTCACACGTACATTCTTTTTTATTCCTATAAATTTACACAGTTATGGCTAATTTCTTCACCTTCGGATAAAATTTATCCTGCGGATAAACTTGTAAAACATGAAAATGATTGGTTAGCTGGGGATTTTTCCGCAGGATAAATTTTATTCGAAGGTCATGAAATTGGCCATTAGAGTGAGAGTTTTGTCTTAGAAGGTCAATGATAAGGGCATTTACCTTATAATAAACATTTACTTTTTAAACAATAACTACAATACTATAATCTGCTTTAGGATGTTTCCATGGGATTGTGCAGCAATGTTTCTTCGTGGCCTAGTGAGAGATGCGTCACCGGAACATGGAGAGACCTTGAATATCCCGGAGGGACAAGAAGTAGCCAAAGCTGGTACTAAAGATCAGACTGGTATCCATCAGCAACTGGCCAGGCGTGTTTCCAGTTCGGAAAGGAAGCCCTAGTCCTCGCCATATTAAAATACTCATAAATGAAGGCTTGTGTTAGCTTACACGTTAATTGATTCCGCACAGTTTGTAGTATTATAATGCAAACTCCAATTGGTTAAACTCACATTAGGTAATCCATCAATTGAGTTTATTTAGAGCAATTGGAATTATTAAGAGTGCTGTTAAGATAATTTGAAAACAAGAAGTTGAACCTGTACGCATTTTAAAATGTATGTTTTGGACTTGGACAATCGTGGACACACAGAAACCTGCATTAATTACAAAGGAACATAGCAGAACCTGAACTTTGTGAATACGTGTGAAAAGTCGAGACACCTCAAAGGTTATTCCGTGAAAGCGGTAACTTACAGCCTGAGCTACTGGTTAAAACTCTACTAAAAGTAGCGCGAATCGTAAGATATACAAATGTAAACTGTAAATGAAAGAGGAAATTAATTGTATACCTCTTCCTTGTACTATATTGAAATAAGTTTTTAGTTTTCACATATTTTTTAAGTGAACTAACCAACCAGGTCGTGGCATGATTTATCTTGAAAAATAAGAAAAGAAGAAATGCAAATTTATTTTTATAATTATTATTACCTTTATAGTTTTGCGTCACAAATTAAATAATTTTTGTACTCCTAGGACACATATCAAAACATTACAATTATTAAGAAGGTGGATCAAAATGAAATATTTTGATAAATTATTAATAAATAATTTTCTGCCTTTGCAATAGACTTTTTAATTCACATGAAAAATATAAAATTATTCTACTGTACGCCAAGCGAAATCGGGTAAAGTAGGTGTGTACATAATGAACGATCGTATACCTCCACGTATAGATAAAGTTAATGTATATATAAGTGGCAAAGCGGTTCACGTAATCGCGTTAATGTGGGTAGAGAACTACATCTCTGGTAATAGTAAAATAGAGGCAGTACCATGTGAATAGTATTTAACACAACGAACCGTCATATTATTAGTTTGGTAGCCATTCTAACTGCCAGCCAAAGCCCACTTGTTTTTCAACGACTATCGGTGGTACTGTGTATCAAGCAAAGTTCACTCAAATTTCCGAATTTCGTGGTTAAACATTTCGTGGCTAAAATACATTATTTTTAATTTGCGTATTGTTTAGTGTACTTCGCATCGAGCTGTAGTATAGTGTTACCTCGTTAAAAAGTCTTACAATTGTGTATACAGTTACATACTAATTTTTTAGTGTAAAGATTTTTGAATGTGTGTAGCTTATGGTAGCCGTATTTGCTATCTAGACATTAAGTATTGTGAAGCGTCTACACCAGAGCAAACGACGTTAGATATTCGAGCACTTATGTACTATTTATACAAGTATTTAAAAGACGTTATCTCGCGTGATCCACTATCGTCATTTGGCTCCGAATCTCAGTTGGTCCTGAGGGAATACTATCAAGTGTACTATCACTATTATTAAGACAATGTACCCCTCGTGAAAACATTTCTCTCAAAGCGTCCGAAATATTATGATTTCATGATTTTGGAATTATTCAGTTATTCTCAGGTCAAATCTGGAACTCATTCGATTTAGGTCTAAAGTTCTCCGAAAGACATTACATTTTTCTGAAAATCTGTGTAATTTATCAATATTATTTCACTTTGAAGAAAAATAATGAAAAATGTAATTTTTAATAATTTGTTATTAATAATATCATTTTTTTCGTTGATTTTCCAGATATTGAAATTTTCAAAAAGTTTCACAAAAATTTGTACACCAGAGACTTGATAGATTTTAAATATCCTTCTGTAATTAATGCCTTTAACGAAAAACTTAACACCATATCGTGGGAATATTATTTGGAGAAACTTTAATATACTATACTGTAATATAAAACAAATTATAACAGAAAAATACTTGGGAAATATCAAAGAGATATCAAAGAAATCAGAATATTAACGAAAGAAAGTACTACGGCGGAAACTAAGAAGACTGAGCAACAACGATGAGTGAGTCAATCGACGAATGAGGTCAGCGAGCCGCGTGCGATCTCGTGGCGTTTGCTGTAAACGTTATCGTTATCAGTTAGCCCGATAACGAGCCAAAAGACCTGTATTGCAATGCTTCTATGCTTTCCACCCAATTTTTTCACCTGTGCCATTCTCCCTACGAAATGATCTCCATTAGTTGAACTATCATTTATTCAAAGTGAACTATTCCACGGTGAAGCGAGTGAATAATTGAAGTTGATTATTTTTATTTATAAAAAGAAGGAAAACTATAAAAACTCGTGAATTAATTAATATTCGTCGATAAACCATTCGTGATTCACCTTGTGAAACATATCTTCCAATAATCTAAAAGAATCAACACGAAGAGTAAACTGTTATTTCGTGATGTGATGTATATAGTTTGTGATAAACAAAGTATTCTACTTCAGTGTATCTTCTTTGGCTGCTTAAGTGGATTTATAAAGCAAGAACAATTTATTTATTTATAATTAAATAATTTTCTTTATTACTATATATTCTCAAGGACTAGAACTACAAGATTAGCGTGTAATTATATCTGGATCAAAGTATTCGGGAGTTATTCAGTGATAAAGTGAGAGAGGTGTTAAAATTACGAATCTTGTCTTTTAAAAATAATGTCGTACTGGATCGTGTCATACTTTTTAATAGTCCTCCTGTTAAAGACTAATTTAGCTCAGGACATACAGCACATGCAAGTCTGTATCGTACAGACAACCTGCAAAAGCTGTATGGAAGCAAGTAATCGATGCGGCTGGTGTAGCGATTGGGTAATTCACATGACTAATTCTAAAAGACTTTCGAATAATTAGTGAAATTTCACATCATTCTGTATACAGGGTTTCCCAGCACAAACATTGAAAGAAGGTGTGGCTTCGAATGAATATGTAAAGACACGCCCTCTCCTTCAGAGCAAAACATCACCTCTAGAATTTTTTAATATTTATTATCAGACTTATCAAATAAGAATGGTAGAATCAGTTTATTTCAGTATAACTATTAATCTAACCGCTGTTTTACTTTTTTCTAGTGTAAAACAATCGATATGAAATACAGAGTTGATTATTCTCCTTTTTCAATTTTGTACTGGATTTGATCGATTTATAATAAACATTTAAAAAGTTGGGAGAGGATGGTTCACTGCATGAATTCTGCTTGGCGTGAGGGTGTTTCTTCATACATTCGAAGCCACACCTTCTCTCAACGTCTATACTGGGACACCTTGTATATTAGATACGTCTCGGCCCTCCTGATATACGTACACTGATTAATTGTACATATGCACAGCCACTCATTCCTATGGCCAACCCACATATATTCCCTGGTAAAAGTTTCGGGTAGGAATTCAATCCGGACTAATCCGAAGTTTTGTGAGCCATTCCGAAATCTGTGTCCGGCCCAATCCGAGAACATTCGAGCGAAATCGTAGCAGGTCTTAATTCTTTTCAAGCTCTGTCTCAACTTCAAGTTCAATCCGAATAAATTTGTGGGACATCCGGAAAAATTATTTGAATCCTTCTCAATCTTGAATCCGTGCGCCTAATCCGAATAATTCTGTGGTTCAACCTGAACAACTTTTCCATCCTTCTCTATTCGAGCATTCTCTCGAAGTTCAATTCGAGTGAATTCAAGGCCAATCCGAAACAAACTTTCAAACCTTTTTAATTCGTGCGTCTAATCTGAATGAATCCGAATCTTGTTCAGGGCAACTTTAAATCCTTTTCACTCTTGATTTCGGATTAGGTCGAATTTAGTCAGATACGATTCCTATTTTTCGCGGATTCGCTTGGAATAAAACTGATTCGTTCGGTTCCAGATTTCGGAATAAAATGGATTTATACAAATAGAAATTATCTATCCGAAATTTTCACCATGGTTGTTATATCCGAGCCCATACATATACAATACTATACACAATGCATATGCCTTTATCTATGCCTTTATCTACACAGCTCGCAGAGACTCTTTACTTGAGCCAACTCTTATTTACCTGTGTTTGGAACGAAATATCTTATTAACCGCTATACATGAGAAAAAGTTATTGATACATTCACTATAGGAATTGAGGGTTCTGAATTGATTGCCACCACGTTCAATACGATTAGTGTACGAGATCAGGGCGTATTGAGATGGCGAGCGAGATGATTTTATTTCAGTTCCGTCGTCGTCGTCATCGTCGTCGTCATCGTCGTCGTCTTCGCACGTTCATCTATCTTTTTACACGACAGATGGCGCTGACTGCTTTACCTTCTTTACCTATTTGTACTCGGGATGATGTTGGTAATTTATGAATATCCAACACAATCAAATACACTTTGTACGTGAAGCTACCGTTCACACCGAATTTCCAGTGGACATAAGGCTGCTTTCACAATAGTATAGAATTATTAAAGCTTTCATATGGAGCGCATTTCTTCGTGTACGTATGTGTGTGCTTTGATATAGTTCCTCGTATTTTAGGTGAAAATTTTTAGAGATATAGGATTTCCAGATGTTCCTCTCCGTTGTTTCCCGTATCTAGGTGTCGGATGTGAAAGTCCAGGGTGTCCAGTTGTTCCGTTTCGTTGTTTCCTGTATCTAGGTGTCGGGCGTGGAAATCAAGGGTGTCCAGGTGTTCCGCTCTGTAGTTTTTTACGTCTAGGTGTCAGGCGTGGAAGTCCAGGGCATCCAGGTGTTTCGCTCCGTAGTTTACTGTATCTAGATACTGGATGTGGAAGTCCAGGGTGTCCAGGTATTCCGCTCCGTAGTTTCCTGCATCTAGGTGTGAGACGTGGAAGTTCAGGGTGTTCAGGTATTCCGCTCCGTAGTTTCTTGTATCTAGGTGTTAGATGTGGAAGTTCAGGGTGTTCAGGTATTCCGCTCCGTAATTTCCTGTATTCAAGTGTCGAATATGGAATTCCAGGGCATCCACGTGTTTTGATCCGTAGTTTCTTGTATCTAGGTATCGGATGTGGAGGTCCAGGGTGTCCAGGTGTTCAGCTCTGTAGTTTCTTGTATCTAGGTGTCGGACGTAGAAGTCTAGAATGTCCAGAAAAGTATGCAACGAGCGACGCTTTGGCGCTTCGCTCAAACTATAGTAAGGCCAAGTACATAAGGGGGAATATACACCTGGAAACGAAAAAAAACGTAATTTTCGAGAATTTTTTTCAGGGAAACTATTGGAACTATCGGGTTGGAGTTGGAGTGCCGTAAAAAAATCGGCTATTTCGGTACCCACTGGCGTTTCGTCAAAAATCATCTGAAACAATAAAATCAAACAGGATATTAAAATAGATACTAATATCTTCTCTTTGTCATAGCCGATTTTAAAATTATCGATTTTTGACAAAATGGCGGACGCTTGAACTCAATGTAGCCATTTTCATGCAAAAATTCGTTCGTATTTTGCCAAAAAAAAACTAAGAATCGGAAAAATAATCCTATGACAAAGACTAGATAATTATGTATAAAATAACCACAACAAATTTCAAGTTAATCGGTTCAGTGGTTTTCGAGATATTTTGGGTACCGATTTGAAAAACGTTGTTTTGAGAAAAACGCGTTTGAAAATTTGTCGATGGATAAATCATGAAATTTGTTTAACTTACACAGAGTCATTGATACCAGGTCCATAATACAGGTTCTCCGAAGTGGAAGCTCATATCGCTTCTGGCACTGGAACATATTGTGCAGTCTTCATTTGTTTGACACTGGCACTAACATTCGATTCCGTTCTTTCTGCGTCGTATCGATTTTTAGGCGCTATTTTCTTTTTTTTTGCGATCTTTCCGTAATTCACTCGATTTGTGACATTCTCGAGAACCTTTACTCCTTTTCATCTTTATTCCTGAATACTTTATTTACAAACCAAGGCTTCGATACTTGTTCTATGGCACAGTTACACGAACGGAAAACTACTGACGAAGCACACTAAGTTTCTGTCAGGATAACCGTTATGTTTAAAATATTCAACCCAGACAGGCTATGCAGGACCATTAAAATACTGATATACAAAAAAAAAACAATGGGCATAATAAGATCGAATGGACAGCGCCGTACTACCTGTATGACCAGACGCTGCGCGGCGCCGATCCAACGAACGCGTGTACTATTTGGGCTATAACTTTGTCATTTTGTGGAATTTTTACCTAAATTTTTCACCAGACATTCTTAATATATAAAACTTGAAGAAAATGTAAAAATTGAAAAATCGATTTTTTGGACCCTGCCAGATGTATATTCCACCATAGGTTACTACATGTTTGCCTATTATATGATCTAGCACTGGTCCATCATTTTAATTGTATTTTCAAAATTTCTGACAACGTTTTCACTACTCTTTTACATTATTACTGCATCCTGTAGTTGATTATAATTTAATGGTCATTTAATAATTAATAGAACTTTAGGTGATTCCTTATCGAGTACTACTTGGCGGGTCCGTGCCAGGAATTTCAAAGTACTTACTTTGAACGTACTAATAGTATCCTAAAACTATATGTTTGTTATTCAGCTTTTACCGTGATTATTTTTGACGAGTTATTGTTAACAAGCTCTAAATAAAAAGTTGACATTGGTTATGGGTTTGATGACTGGCATAATGAACGCACATTTATGTCAAGAAATGCACGGACCCGTCAAGTAGTATTCGATAAGGAATCATCTAAAGTTTTATTAATTATTAAATGACCATTAAATCATAATCAACTACGGGAAGCAGTAGTAATGTAAAAGAGTAGTGAAAAAGTTATAGGAAATGTTTAAAATACAATTAAAATGATGGGCCATTGCTAGATCATATAATAGGCAAACATGTAGTGACTTATGTACTTGGCCTCAATAATCTGATATCAATACTTTTTATTAGAGGAATACACAGCACTCCTATACTTGGCGTAGTTTTTTACACGTAAGTGTTTTTTGGGGGATACCATAATACTATACTGCTTTATATTATAACACATTTTACGAATTATGTTACTTTCGTTATATGTATAAGCGAAGGATGTTATACAGGGTGGACCACGGAGCGTGATCAGTAGAGATTACTTTGTTATTAGCAGTCCGATCGAAAACGTTTTTATCAGCTTTTGCATGGTCTCAAGAGAGCTTTAACGTGATAGTGAAAAATTACTGGTCAACTCTTTTTTTTAATGTTTCTTCAAGGTTACCTTGAATTTTTTGCAACTGAACATATATTTTGTTTTACGCTTGTCTGTTAGAGGATTTCAAGACGAATTCGGCACATGTAAGGACATGGCACTTTTTTCATCCCGTTCGAAAGAAAATTAAAAAACTTTATATCACAAGGAGAATCACAGCTACGACGTTATTACGCAACCAATGTCGTTGACAAGTCAAAATTTACGAATCTTAATTGTAGCGATTTCAAAATGGTGTCCACGAGCTGCAATGACTCGCATAGACGGTGAACAAAAGATTATTTTGCAGTCTTTATGGCCTCTACACTGATGGCGACTGAAGACGACAGAATGGATGCGTATAACGGCGTAGCTGTGATTCTCCTTGTGATAAGGAGTATCTAGTTTTTTAATTTTCTTTCGAACCAGATGAAAAAAATGTCATGTTCTTGCATGTGCCGGATTCGTCTTGAAATCCTCTAACAGACAGGCGTAAAAAATTATATGTTCAGTTGCAAAAAATTCAAGATAACCTTGAAAAAAATTAAAAAAAAAGAGTTGACTAGTAATTTTTCACTATCACGTTAAAGCTCTCTTGAAACCATGTAAAAGCTGATAAAACATTTTCGATCGGACTGCTAATAACAAAG